GTTTTCTATTTCTTAAACAGGGAACTTAAATATTAAGTTAAACCTATTCCAAATACATTTTCAAACTATTCAAATGATGAAAGTTATTGTTGTTTTTAAAGCGTTTATTATCGAGTGGGAAACACCAACATTGCCGCTGTCTATTCAACCGCTGGAATATTCTTGGCTTCAATTTTACTAAAGGAGATGCGCTATCTAGTGTGTATAAGATATCTATGGCCAGGGTACATTTTGATTTACGTCGGACAAAGCTACAGTTCGGTCGGACACCAATTCACTTGGGTCGGACAAACAGTAAACCTCAGTTTCACTTTGGTCGGACAGAATGACCGGTGGTTTACTCTCTACGTCGGACAATTTCATGAATGGGTCGGACAATGTCCGTGACCGACCGATATTTTAAGGCCTGACCTACACTGAACACCTTCTTTGAAATACTGTATATTGTTGTTTTTATGTTGTTTTCTTCATTTAGGTTCTGCAGAGAATACTTTGGATGACAAACCATTGGATAGCAGTGTTGTTATAGGTTCGTTTAAGACCATGTTTGAGGCCACCAACTTTTTTGCTCTGTTCATGGCACATGCAGGTTGTGTCATGTTTCTAAAAACATACTGGTCAGCTCCATTTCCCCATGGGCAAAATATGTGCAAAATGCCAATTACCACACTAACTGTTGTTTCACCTATTCCCATGAAATTGCCAATTCAGTTGTATTCTGCTTTTTACTGCTTTCATAGCAAGACCTCACTGGGGCAAAAGATTCCAGATTCCACTGATTTTTAAAGTTCTCAGATTCGAGTATTCAGATATGTAAACCGTTTACACTACAACCATTTACACCACAGACCGTTTACAGTGGATGAATAACAAACAAAAACTTTCTACAAATTATTTTGTCGGATTGGTACAGTGTAAAGTGAATATTCTCGGTTACAGTAATGTACAGTATATAATAAACTGTCACAAAAGCTGCAGGTGAAAACCAGCGGAAACATACTTATAGCCGGCAGAAAAGCTTGCAAATTCATCGAGGCAACCATTTACACATCGAATTGTATCGGATTCATATGCTTCCAGATGCAAAGCTTCTACTTTTTTTCCAACTCCAAAATTTTCTGTTATGGCTCAAAACTGAAATGGTTTTCTATTGGATTCATCGCTGTGTTTGTAAACGACAACATGAATCCGCGGTACTAATACGCACATTTAATGTGTTACACTTCAGGCTAAACATGCTATATACTGTATAAGTAACCTTCAGGGTGACGTCGAGTTTTATTTTACAGAATATACTGACAGCTTGTACATATTTAATATTTTTTTTAAAAAAAGATGATGATGAAGAAGGAGAGGAAAAGGCAAAATTGATCAACGAAGTGCTTGAACTTCAAAATACCCTTGAAGGTAATGATAGATTCGTTTGTGATAGAACTATAATTTCTCAATGAAAACAAGAATGCTTTATTCATGTTGTCGTTATTAATATGATATTCAGTTCACTTTGTAACAAAATCGCAGAGAAAATCCAAATGTGCAAAACCAGATTACTAATTAGACAGATTTAGAAAATTGGACACGGCAAACTCGACGGCCCAATTTCAAAAGCTTCAAGGAATTTGAGCACTGCATAATTTGGTTACTGCAATAAATGTATCAGCTCAGGACAACAAGGTGTACAGTACGTATTTTTCGTTTTAGATTTATCTCAAAGAGTTGATGCTGTTAAAGATGAAAATCTCAAATTAAAATCAGAAAATCAGGTAAAACTAGCTGTAGTTGTTAATTGCTGAAAAGGCAATCGGTTTGTTGTTTTTGCAACTTTTCAATATATTTTTTACTTCTGCGAGGAGATTATGTTTTCTTCGTCCGCGTTTGTATGTACAGTGTACAATATGTGTGTCTGTCTGTGTCTATGTGTTTTTCAACAGGATAATTTTAAAAAAATATCAAACGTATTAATACGAAAATTTGTGGGACTAATGGACATTTTGCCCAAGGATCAAATGATTAAATTTTGGTTAAATTTGCATGAAAATTAATCAGAAACTAACAATGTTTGTCTTGCTTTGCCGGACAGAGTAAATTGAATGCGTATTTAGCCCATTGTATAATTTATCCATCATACAGAAGGTATGCCATCTCCAAATGTTTTCCAGTCGAGTCAATTTTACCTCGATCTTGGTAATTTCAAATAATATACAACCTTGCTACAAGCAAACACATCTTATTGACAAGTTGTTGGAACAGCATTATCACAACTTGTCAACAAGCTTCCTACAAACCTATTGGAAACACATCTATCTTGTTGACAAGTTGTTGGAACAGCATTGTCATAACTTGTTAACCAGCTTGCTACAAACCTATTCCAAACACATCTTGTTGACAAGTTGTCAGAACAGCATTGTCACAACTTGTTAACACGCTTGCTACAAGCCTGTTGTAAACACATCTTGTTGACAAGTTCTTGGAACAGCATTGTCACGACGTGTTAACAAGCTTGCTACAAGTCTGTTGAGGAGTCATCTTGTTGACAAGTTGTTGCAACAACCTTGTCACAACTTGTCAACAAGCTCGCTACAAACCTATTCCAAACACATCTTGTTGACAAGTTGTTGGAACAGCATCGACACAACTTGTTAACAACCTTGCTACAAACCTATTGCAAACACATATTGTTCACAAGTTGTTGGGACAGCATTGCCACATATTGTTAGTCAAGCTTGCTACAAGCCTGTTGAGGAGTTAATGAACTTGTTAACAAGCTTGCTACAAACCTATTGCAAACACATCTTGTTGGCAAGTTGTTTTAACAGCATTGTCACGACGTGTTAACAAGCTTGCTACAAGCCTGTTGAGGAGTCATCTTGTTGACAAGTTGTTGGAACAAGCCTTCTCACAACTTGTTAACAAGCTTGCTACAAACCTATTGCAAACACGTCTTGTTGACAGGTTGTTGGAACAGCATTGTCACAACTTGTCAACAAGCTTCCTACAAACCTACTGCAAACACATCTTGTTGACAAGTTGTTGGAACAGCATTGTCACAACTTGCTAACAAGCTTGCTACAAACCTATTGCAAACACGTCTCGTTGACAGGTTGTTGGAACAGCATTGTCACAACCTGTTAACAAGCTTACTACAAACCTATTCCAAACACATCTTCTTGACAAGTTGTTGGAACAGCATTGTCGGAACTTGTTAACAAGTTTGCTACAAGCCTTTTAAGGAGTCATCTTGTTGACAAGTTGTTGGAACAACATTGTCATAACTTGCTAACAAGTTTGCTACAAGCCTGTGGAGGAGACGTCTTGTTGACATGTTGTTGGAACAGCATTGCCATGTTGCTAACAAGCTTGCTACAAGCCTATTCCAAACACATCTTGTTGACAAGTTGTTGGAACAGTATTGTGAAAACGTTTTAGCAAGCTTGGTGCAAGCCTGTTGAGGAGTCATCCTGTTAACATGTTGTTGGAACAGCATTGCCTCAACTTGTTAAGAAGCTTGCGACAAACCTATTGCAAACACATCTTGTTGACAAGTTGTTGGAACAGCATTGTCACAGAACATTGTCACAGAACATTGTCATAACTTGTCAGCAAGCTTGCTACAAACCTATTCCAAACACATCTTGTTGACAAGTTGTTGGAACAGCATTGTCGGAACTTATTAACAAGTTTGCTACAAGCCTTTTAAGGAGTCATCTTGTTGACAAGTTGCTGGAACAACATTGTCACAACTTGTTAACAAGCTTGCTACAAACCTGTGGAGGAGACGTCTTGTTGACATGTTGTTGGAACAGCATTGTCAGAACTTTATATTAACAAGCTTGCTAGAAGCCTGTTGAGGACTCATCTTGTTGACAAGTTGTTGGAACATCATCGCCACAACTTGTTAATAAGCTTGCTACAAACCTATTGCAAACACATGTTCTTGACAAGTTGTTGGAACAGCATTTTTTTGTTGACAAGTTGTTGCAACAGCATTGTCTTGTTGACAAGTTATTTTAACAGCATAGTCACGACTTGTTAACAAGCTTGCTACAAGCCTGTTGAGGAGTCATCTTGTTGACAAATTATTGGAACAGCCTTGTCACAACTTGTTAACAAGCTTGCTGCAAACCAATTGCAAACACATCTTGTTGACAAGTTGTTGGAACAGCATTGGCAAATGTTGTTAACAAGCTTGCTACAAGCCTGTTAAGGAGTCATCTTGTTGACAAGTTGTTGGAACAGCATTGCCACAACTTGTCAACAAGCTTGCTACAAACCTATTCCAAACACATCTTGTTGACAAGTTGTTGGAACAGCATTGTGAAAACTTTTTAGCTACTGTAGCTTGGTAGAAGCCTGTTGAGCAGTCATCCTGTTGACATGTTATTTTAACAGCATAGTCACGACTTGTTAACAAGCTTGCTACAAGCCTGTTGAGGAGTCATCTTGTTGACAAATTATTGGAACAGCCTTGTCACAACTTGTCAACAAGCTTGCTGCAAACCAATTGCAAACACATCTTGTTGACAAGTTGTTGGAACAGCATTGGCAAATGTTGTTAACAAGCTTGCTACAAGCCTGTTAAGGAGTCATCTTGTTGACAAGTTGTTGGAACAGCATTGCCACAACATGTTAACAAGCTTGCTACAAGCCTATTGAGGACTCATCTTGTTGACAAGTTGTTGGAACAGCATTGTCACAACTTGTCAACAAGCTTGCTACAAACCTATTCCAAACACATCTTGTTGACAAGTTGTTGGAACAGCATTGTGAAAACTTTTTAGCTACTGTAGCTTGGTAGAAGCCTGTTGAGCAGTCATCCTGTTGACATGTTATTTTAACAGCATAGTCACGACTTGTTAACAAGCTTGCTACAAGCCTGTTGAGGAGTCATCTTGTTGACAAATTATTGGAACAGCCTTGTCACAACTTGTCAACAAGCTTGCTGCAAACCAATTGCAAACACATCTTGTTGACAAGTTGTTGGAACAGCATTGGCAAATGTTGTTAACAAGCTTGCTACAAGCCTGTTAAGGAGTCATCTTGTTGACAAGTTGTTGGAACAGCATTGCCACAACATGTTAACAAGCTTGCTACAAGCCTATTGAGGACTCATCTTGTTGACAAGTTGTTGGAACAGCATTGTCACAACTTGTCAACAAGCTTGCTACAAACCTATTCCAAACACATCTTGTTGACAAGTTGTTGGAACAGCATTGTGAAAACTTTTTAGCTACTGTAGCTTGGTAGAAGCCTGTTGAGCAGTCATCCTGTTGACATGTTGGAACAGCATTGTCACAAATTGTTAAGAAGCTTACTACAAACCTATTGCAAACACATCTTGTTGACAAGTTATTGGAACAGCATTGTCACAGAACATTGTCACAACTTGTCAACAAGCTTCCTACAAACCTATTCCAAACACATCTTGTTGACAAGTTGTTGGAACAGCATTGTCGGAACTTGTTAACAAGTTTGCTACAAGCCTTTTAAGGAGTCATCTTGTTGACAAGTTGCTGGAACAACATTGTCACAACTTATTAACAAGCTTGCTTCTAGCCTGTTGAGGAGTCATCTTGTTGAGAAGTTGTTGGAACAGCATTGCCACTACTTGTTAACCAGCTTGCTACAAGCCTGTTGAGGAGACATCTTGTTGACAAGTTATTGGAACAGCATTGGCACAACTTGTTAACAAGCTTGCGACAAACCTATTACAAACACGTCTTGTTGACAAGTTTTTGGAACAGCATTGTGAAAACGTTTTAACAAGCTTGGTACAAGCCTGTTGAGGAGTCATCTTGTTGACATGTTGTTGAAGCAGCATTGCCTCAACTTGTTAAGAAGCTTGCTACAAACCTATTGCAAACACATCTTGTTGACAACTTGTTGGAACAGCATTGTCACAGAACATTGTCACGACTTGTTAACAAGCTTGTTACAAACTTGTTGAGGAGTCATCTTGTTGATATGTTGCTGGAACAGCATTGCCAGAACTTGTTAGCAAGCTTGCTGCAAACCTATTGCAAACACATCTTGTTGACAAGTTGTTGGAACAGCATTGTCACAAAACATTGTCACAAAACATTGTCACAACTTGTTAACAAGCTTGTTACAAGCCTGTTGAGGAGCTTCTTGTTGACATTTTGCTGGAACAGCATTGCCAGAACTTTTTAACAATCTGGCTACAAACCTATTGCAAACACATCTTGTTGACAAGTTGTTGGAACAGCATTGTCACAACTTGTTAACAAGCTTGCTACAAGCCTGTTGAGGGGTCATCTTGTTGACAAGTTGTCAGAACAGCATTGTCGCAACTTATTAACAAGGTTGCTACAATCTTGTCGAGGAGACATGTTGTTGACATGTTGTTGGAACAGCATTGTCACATGTTATTAACAAGCTTGCTACAAGCCTGTTGAGGAGTCATCTTGTTGACAAATGTTTGGAACAGCATTGATACAACTTGTTAATAAGCTTGCTACGAACCTATTGCAAAGACATCTTGTTGACAGGTTGTTGGAACAGCAATGTGACAACTTGTTAACAAGCTTGCTACAAACCTACAGTATTGCAAACACATCATGATATAACATAAATGTTACAAGGGTGACGACACAATATTGTTGTATAATGACTGTATCGGACTGTATGAAACAACCTTGCAACAAGTGTGATAATGTCATCAAGCTTGTTACAAGTTGTTAAATGCTTGTTGACAACTTGGGACAAGCAGTGCGAACACAACTTGTTCACGGCTTGTTAGCAGACTTGCTACAAGATGTGAGATTTTTACATGTGTAACTTAACAGTTACCACTTGCCCGGGGCAAGTGAATATCATGACGGGCAAGTAATGTTTTACCTTGCCAGATTGGGCAAGTTGTCTTGTCACAAAAAGCTGGGCATCTTTAAGTTTATGTTTTCATTGTCAGATATAAATTTTTTTATAGGGCATGTACTTGATTCTAATTAGGTTTTTCGTGGGCCAAATCTAGATAGCCATATAGAGCAGTGGGAGAATTAAGGGTCTACATGTTGTCCACTTAAGTTATATCCCCTACCTATATACAGTAGGTACCCTAGTGGCCATTGTCTGATGGCAAGTGAATTTTATTCAGGGCAACTAATTTTCATGTCCAACTTGCCCTGAGGGCAAGTGGTCAAAAAAGTAAAGTTACACAACTGGATATCACAAAAATCTCATCGAATAACTGTTTGTTATGTGTTATTCGGACAACCGCATTTCTATCCAGCGTGAGTCCGCTTACAAGAATTGTTTACAGCAAGATATTGACTGAGGATATTTATTCCAGGTTCTTGGTCAGTATATTGAAAATTTGATGTCAGCATCAAGTGTTTTTCAGGCAACTAATGCTCCGACGAAAAAGAGGTATGTATTAAGGCAAATCGTCGTGAATACCGGTAATAGATGTAAATAATGATTGGGTTGGGCCTTTTGTATACGTACATGTACATTGGCGTTTTTAATTTTAGCGTTTTTATGGGGTTTTTTTGGCGTCTTATAATTAGCGTTTTTAATTGTCTGCATATGTACATCTGTACTGCATCAATAATGGTTTGTAAATAGAGAATAATACATGGGTGCACGGATTCATGGAGATACCAGATTTATTTCGAGTTTTGAACATGATATCTCGAGAGTGAGCGCGGCGAACGAGTGAGATATCATGTTGAACATGTTCAACATGTTCAACACGAGAAATAAATCTGGCATTTCCATGTATTTTTCTGTTTATTATATAAAGGACAGTCTTTGAAAAGCGATAATTATTACAGAAAAGCGATAATTGAAAAGCGATAATTATCATAAATAATTTCACATGTGAGATTAATATAGGTTATCATATAAGGGATGAGGTGAGGTCAGTTTTATCGCTCAAGGGATGATATCACAATTGTCACGAGCGAGCGCAGCGAGCGAGGGACAATTGTGATATCGTCCCGAGAGCGGTAAAACTGATATCACCGAATCCCGAGTACGATAACCTATTTATTATATACTTGTACCTTTATCAGGGTTTGACACCCAAAAGTAAACAGTTTTGAAAAAATAGGATCATTTTAGAATTCAAAAAAATTTACTGAACAAATATGATTTTAGAAAATAAATAGACAATTCATATAAATAATATACAATTTAAGTCTTTCGTTTTGTATTATCGCTCTTGTTTCCTTCGATAAAACCAGGCCTTAAAATATCGGTCGGTCACGGACATTGTCCGACCCATTCGTGAAATTGTCCGACGTAGAAAAGAAACCACCGGACATTCTGTCCGACCTAAGTGAAACTGAGGTTTATTGTTTGTCCGACCCGAGTGTATTGGTGTCCGACCGAAATGTAGCTTTGTCCGACGTAAATCAAAATGTACCCTAGCCCAGGAAGCCAGGAATAGAGGCAGACTTGTATGTTAAATGGAAAATCAGAGTACTATTGTATAAAAGGTCAACTGGAAATGTTGTTTTAACGTAGACGAGCGCGGGGCGGCGAGCGACATGGTCAAGTGGAAAACAGGCTTAAGTTGTCGAAGTCTTTTTGATACTGCTGTTCTGGCAAGTATGTATGAAAGAAACAAATTATTTAATATCTTTACAACATTTACCGTTTATTCATTTGTGTCATTCAGACTTATTTCCGAGTCAAAAATGAACTGAAAGTCATCGGACATATGTCCGACCCAAACTCAACGTCACCGGACATTTTGTCAGACGGCCCTGAAAAAGATATTTTAAGGCCTGGATAAAACTGTCGACATCAACCAACACGAACCTCGAGTCGGCCATCTTTGTTTTGACAAGGTGCGAAATTTAGCGGGACAAAAAACGATATCCGGGACAAAAAACGATATCCGGGACGATATCGTTTTTATGTCCCGCTGCTTCCTACCTGATAAAGGTACAAGTATGTGATAATCAGTTTTATCAGTGCTTTAAATAGTACATAAAGCACTATACTTTATATAATAATAATAATGTTTTAAGCATCGTGAATCTGTAGTGATGCAGTTTAGAGTATTGACAATTTATAGAATTTTAATGATTTGCAGATCACATTTTTTTCTAAAAATTGATTGGCTAGTTTAATTCTGTGATTTAATTTGATTTGCTGGTTATACGGTCCGATTTAAATATGATTGCTTAAAAAATTATACGATTTAACCGCAAGGTAACGCGTTAGAGCTTAAAATAGTGTGCTTTAGGAATTGATCACACTGTTTTGAGAATAAAAATAGTTTAATATTTTTGTTCTATTTAATATGCATGTTTTTGTTCTATTTATCCATGCTTTATCTTTTTTTTGTTTAGGCAAGTGCCATCTAGACCAACCCGCAAGAGATAGACCATTATCAAGACTATCAGTTTATTTTTATTTTATTGTACATTAAATTTGTATAGTTATGGTATGGTATGTTTGCTCATACAGTAAAGGAGGAATACAGTATACATAGGCATATATGTAAAATGTATAGACATTTCATTTATTAAATTTGCATATACAGTAATAATCATTCTGTAAATTTAAAGTAATTATTTAATTGATTAAATTTTATTCATGGGAATGGTCTGTCACTTAATCACTATATACAGAGGAGGTTGGACAGCAGGCCGCAAAGCATCATGGGTATTGAGCGCCTAATTCGACGCGTGGCTTCATTGACTGTTGACTGTCGAGGAGTGAACAGCTCTCTGACTAAACAAATATGGAAGCTTTCGAACGACAAGAGTGTCAGATACTCTGTGAAAACAGTATATTGCTGTATTGTTGCGATCCTCATTATGACTTGTGTTTTACTATAGCAAGTTTACCTTTTTTTAAAATTGCATGGGACGTGTTGTCATTTTAGTTTAGTTTATAAATAATCCGTCTGAGCGAAGGAATTGTGTTTATATAAATATTCCCAATAGCAAGGCTCTTCTTTCTAATTAAAGTTGGATGGCGTTATTAAATCTCCGTGTATCATCAACGTAAAAACAAGCGCAGTATTTAATAAGGTTGGTATACTACAATGCATTACAGTTATCTTGTTATTTAGTCAAATTTCAGCTTTGTTGTTTTTATTCTTGCACTGTACTGTACTGTAATTTCATAAATACACTGTACAAAATTATAGCGTAATATGTGTTTATTGCCTATAGTTTGACCCTATTGTGTGTGTATATGTACTGTGTCACTGTGATACATAATTATGTACATGTTTTGAGTTAAACAAATTGTTTAATAAATTTTTGCTGAAGTATGATGCCCGTTTGTATCTAGTTGTGGATAGCATATATGTGCATACAGTAGTTATATATTTTTCAATTTTCATCTGTAAATAATATTGCCATACTTGTGTGTTGTTCTAATACTACTGTGAATAGTGACATACTTTTGCATTAGATTGCTAATTTTAGAGATTACAGTGTATGTATAAAATAATAAAATAAAATTTTTCTTGTTATGATTTTGTAGAAAGAGATCTATTTGAGTGGTTGGCTGGTCTTGAACCTGGTCAGATAATGAAGGTGATGGGGTAGAAAGTTGTAATGAAGGTGATAAGGCAGAAAGTGGTGACCGGTTAAGTGATGAGGATGAAAGTGACGAGGACAAAATCACCCATGCTGTACCATTCAAGATTTCAAGTGCATCGGTGCTGCTCATGAGAAAAACTACCAACATCATTTTGGAACAGGCATACCTTGCTCTTCATTGGCCAGAGCAATTGAATCCAACAGACTCAAGTGCAATTGATGTAGACCATGGAACCGGATGGACACATGTTGGTTATATTGCTTCTGAACTATGCGAGCATTTACACCCATTAATTGCAGCAGGAGATATCTTAGAGGTCTATGTTCAGCATATCAAGTATAGGGTTGAGTTTTTTAAAATAGGATTTTATCCAGACTCGAGTGGTAAGGAAGAGCATGAGTGTATGTTGACAGATGTTTGTGATATAATAGCAACTGACTAGGTTTTAGCAAGTTATAGAAATGCTGTTATTTCAATTGGCTAACTTTTTAGATTTTTTTCAGCATTTTTAAATTAAACAAAAACTAGGTTAATCACAAGTGGGTGCAATTAAAACAATGTCTGTCATGCACACTCGTGCAATTAAGTACATAATTGTAACATGTGCTGTACTAAATGAACAAATAAATAGTTTGTACATTCACTTTACCAACTTTGTGAGTAAATTTTCATTAAAATTAATGCAACAATAAAACAAAAATATGTCTATTTATACACAATAATATTGATCAATGGTCCCACAATAACATGCTGCTGATACTTTAATTAAGGTACATTATATGAGAATACAAAAATAACCTGCATATAATGCACCTATCAATGTTAACTCCCAAAGGGGGGGGGGGGCATATGTGGGGTATTTGATCATTAATTGCATCTCCACCCCAGGGATTTTGATTAGCCATAGTTAACTATGGATTAGCATTTGGGCCCAAGTTAGGGCAATTTGAATCAAAATTACTTTTATTAATATAGTATTTATTGCAATTTATTGCAAAATGGTAGGGTATTTGACCAATATTTATTGCCCAACAGTGGGGCATTTGACCCCCCTCTCTGGGGCTTAACATTGATAGGTGCATAAGAACCACCATTTCTCAAACTTTATCTGAATTAGTTGTGTAACAGCATTTATACAAAATACTGTTAAAAAAGGCCAAGTGGGCCTTCACTGCTATAAAGGGCATTCTATCCAATGGCATTATAGGACCAATATTTCCATGGCGTTCTCCAAAGCATCGAGCAGCGTTATAAATCAGATTGTCTTTTTTACCAGCATGAAGTACAGACATAGCCTTTGCAACAATTGGGATGGGGGACAAATTTAGCATCTAAACCAAGAGCATCTAAACCAGCATCTTTACCAGCCATTTTTGAAACGGGTGGATGAGTAGCTGTTCTTGTTGTCACTGCATGGGTTAGTTTTGAAAATCCAGAAGTTATGTCAAGTCATCATATCATATCAGTAACATTACCAGAGAAGTGAACAAGTTTAGAACTCCAAATTTAATGATGATGCTTAATTCTTGCAGACGAAATCATTGACAAAAATAGAATCCTCTAGCCAAAATCACAAATCTATAAAAACATCAGCCAAACAATGAATTTCACCAATAAAATCTTGTTACAGAAGTGCTTTAATTTTTTACATACTTTAACCAATATATATAAATCCATAATATATTGAAACTTCTATAGTATATCAAATTTCTTTAGAAAAAAGCTAATAGCAGCAGTTCATTATCGATCTGAATGACAAGGCAGCATATTTTACAAAGGGCTATATTCAACGGTGAATATCTCGAAAACGGTTGAGAGGCCGAGGGGGGCCGGCTGGATAGAATTAAAGATTATACTTTTATTTAACTAATCGTGAAAAAAATAGCGAAATCGAACAATGGAGATTTGAGAATTTTGTCTTCAAAGATTGTTGACAGAAACGCCATTAAATTACATCGCGACGTCATAGCGCCTAAGTGAGAGGTCAAAATAAACTGGAAAATGACGCTTACCTTTTAAGATACCGTTCCAATGGGTAGATTGACTGTTGTAGAAGTAGTATCGCGTGAAATTTCCCGAAAAAATTGCATAACAATATGAAAAAAATCGATATTTATGAGCCCTATGTAAATTTTCGATGCCAAAAGCTTCGTGCGAGCATGAGGAAAATGGCGCAATCTGATTGGTCGAGATGTTCGCCTAATTGGCTGTCCAACCTCCTCTGGTTGATAGCCACAAAATAGAATATTAATGAGCTGCTTGATCCTTTTCAAAATGGCGGGGCCTTTCGTGGAGTGGGCAAAATGTTTCAAACAATTCCGGGCCCCATTTCGTGAAAATTTTGACCGAATTGTACCTGTTTTCTATGGATTTTGCTTTGTGTCTAACTCTGGACATTCATGCTAGTTTATTTAATGCGTTTTTCTTGGTGCACGACTCTGAAAATCCGAAATTTGGATCGTTGAATTCCCGTGC